AAAAAAAAAAAAAAAAAAAAAAAAAAAAAAAAAAAAATATAGCTTTAAGAGGGTTAGGCCTACCCTAAAATTAAGGAACGCTCGACCTCGACACGTGATATCGAAATGGGCGAAATCGCCTCTTGATATCACTAACTCTCTTGACTCTTGACTCCTCTGCCTACCCCCTCTCCATAGACGAACCACTAGCGCTAAATATCGCGAGCCGCCACTGCTCGTCACCCGCGGGTTCAAGGTCTCCCGAGGTCAAAACAGGTCAACGGTACATCGTAGAATATTTTCAATGCCACCGTAGGTATTTCCAAGGCAGTTAGAAGAGAATATATATTTTTTTTAAAGCCACGCGACATTGTTTGGTCGACCGGCATGTTTCGGCGACAGGGAATGTGTTAAGCATCGCAATACATATACAGGGTGCAAGCTATTTCAGGAATGAAACCCATTCTGCTTCACCGGCACAAAGTTCTGCTACAAGGGGTTAGGGTTTCTAGCACCCTGTTCTGAGTCGATTGTCATCGACAACAGGGGCATAACAACAATAACGACAAAACTTTTTTCAAGTTCCCACGAGACCGAAGAACTCCCGCCCCCCGTAATTTCAATGAGAAGCGTTTTGACGCTAAAGGGGCGCAGCGAAGTCGATGGTCTGTGGAAAACACTGCAATGAACATGTCCCTTTCGAGCATCGACGTACCGAGGGCGCTCGTACAGGGCGCCGATTGGCTATCAAATCACTACAATATATGAATAAAACCTTTAAAAATAATGCAAAATTATCCTGAATTTAACTAAATTAAGCACATAAATTAATACGTAATGTATTGTTTGTGTTAGTACCGGGGAAGCTGGAGAGGGATATCTCGCACAGGGTGCCAAACATCCTCGGCATGGCAATGCTTTCGAGTACTTCACGCATTAATTTTTCAAACAGTTTTCTGAGTGGGTCGAGGCTGAAACATTTTCAAGCGCCCAATCGTCTCGCTAACTTTCTTTAATCATCATCAAGATGCAATCAAAGGAAAGAAGCAACACAAGCCTTAGACAGGTTTGAGGCAGCACACAGAGTTGTGAGCATTTTGTTGTGCTTTCTGATGGTTTTTGGGGCACCATACGTTCTCCTCCTTCGTGTGCAGGTGGAACGGCTGACGCCTTCTAAAAACCCGCAGGACAAAAAAAAAAAAAAAAACGACCAACGGACCGGACTGCTCGGCTGGATGGAGCCACACATCCCCGATGAAAGCCCGGCACCGGGGACGAGAAACCCACCTACACAGCCCCCCTTTCATCCGGGCTCACAATGGGATGAATATTCGGGGCAACTCCATTTGAAGGAGGGGGTCTTTGTACCTCCCCGGTCCCATTGTCATAAGGGGAAACGAGAAGGCCATAGACTTTTACACCCCTCCAATCCAACGCTGCAGCCGTCCCACACGAGAATCCGGACTTTGGCTCGCCCGTCTCGTCGTGTAATTTGGTCTGTCCTCGAAGGATAAGCCATTTGCTGTTGCATTTTCTTCCGTCTCCTAATTTTCTCGTCTGACGATAACTTGGGAGGATATAGCCGCGATCTTGGGGGGAAATTGGTGTGCCGACACGGGCTAGATACAGGTTGGAATTGAGAATTCAGACCCAAAAATGGGCTTCTACGAGAATATTGTAACATGTATAGCCTCCTCAAACCGTTGACTCCATGTGTACATGATATATCCTGAGCATTGCGCTTCCCCTTTACAAATCACTTGACTCAAGTCATCAAATGAGACAAAAAGCATTTGGAATAAAAATCCTGTCGAGTTTGTGGCCCAGGATAGAGGATTAAGAAATGGGAGTCGGGATGGTTCACTTCCCCCATTTCCGTTCCCTTTACTCTTTTCGCTAATACATTTATGCATCTTCTGTCTTCCCCTTTCGTTGAACGTGAAGAAAAGCCCACAAGGGAGGCTAACAATTGCATGAGAAACCGGAAAGTTTGGAACGCGCCTTGCGGGATCAATCGGAGTCTGATGACACATGAAGGCGGCTGGTCTTGCCACATCGCACTTTCATTTTTATTTTATTTTTTGTCATTATTATTATTAATTTCCTTGCTGCGAATGCAGGAGTGTCTTACTTTCGACAGCTTCGCAAAAGGTGAGGAGACAGCGGAAAGCGACACCTCTTGAACCGCATCGATATCACGATTCTTGCAGAAAACTCGTGCAGAGGGCAGAACCGCTTATTTACAACGGACAGCTACCAGTCCCCAGTTGAAGGTCACATGCCTTAAAACTGGATAAACACGAGTGCGCGATCACAAGAGACCCTCGGAAGGGCCCAGCACCGTTTCTCCCACGTCCAATCAACAGCAAGTCCAACGCGTCCCTCCATAACGCTCCCGCGCGTAGTATGAACGTCTCCAGCGTCGCGGGCACTGAATGCAGGAACATTCACACAAACAGGAGCAAATACTGTACGTGCTTCACGCGTTCGAGACCAAGCGCTTCTTTCATCTACACGTACAACTTCAGAGAGCCCCATACGATCCACTTAATTTGCTAGTTTAGAAATTTAAGGACAGCAATTATGAAAAGAAATCCTATTAAATATTCACGTTGAAGGCTTCTCGAGACATCATCGGCGGAAAATTCGCTAAAGTCTTCCAAAATGTGGAAGTGAGAAATTTCGTCCAGGCATTCAAACCGTTCTAACCCACAATGTCTGCATTTGCTTTCAAGGGGGCAATCTCGCACCATTCTTACGTTGTTTCGTTACAACACCCGGCTTTGGCTTTATGGTCACTTCACAATTATGGGATGATGGAATGCATATATACGTTTATCTCTCGAGGAGAAAACTGTCAACGGGTGCGCGGGAAAGCTGCGTCCCATGCTAATGACCATTCCAGCTTCGGGTATTTTGACCGACCCAAAAATAATTTCCTGAAATTTCCCTCTTTCCGAGCAGTCCTGCACAAATACATCCTCACTGCTGCGATTCCGTAGTCGCGATTTCCTGCCATACCGCCACTCCACATAGCTGACAAGTCATTTTCAAAATTTATGATGCCCCGGCGCCACCTTTAATTCTCAAAGCATGTCAACAGGGGAGAAAAAAACGCAGCCTCGCCCCACGGTAACGACAGCAAGTAAACCAATATTTCAATGAAGAAAGGGGATGCAGCTGTCCCAGTGATTCGCCATCGTGCACCACCTGAATAGGATAACCGGTCGCGCTTCCGGAACCCCCAGCATCCCTGCATGCACTTGGCGGGAATAAAAGAAACGGGGAAGGCGATCGGACAACCCTGCGACGCATTCATCCACCCCCGCCCTCCCCCACCCCTCGAATTGTATGGGACGAGAGGAGAGCTGAGTGCGAGGCTCGGAGGGGAAGGGGAAAAGGTGGATGACCTTGACATTGAAGGGGGAGGAAGGATGAGAAAACGCCTCCACCCCCTCCCCCTCACGCCTCACTCCACGAGTCACACTCCCTTTCAGAGGAGTCAATGTTGTCAAGTTAGCGTTTTTTCCGCCAGATCTGACGCCCTTGTTTTCCCCCTTCCTGCTCCTTCCTCAGGGGGAGGAACGCCTTACAGCTCCATCCCCATCTCATCCATTCTAAAATCCTGATGCTAAAAATCATTCCGCAGTATTTTCGTGCTGAACTCGATTTGGATGCATTTTCTTTTGAAGCTTCATGAGCTCCGGCAATGAAAATTTATTACAACTGAGAAATTTAAACTGTAAGAACCTAGCATCATTTTGAAACATGCTGTTGGCAACATAGAAAGCTAGGCGAAGGCGTTCCTAAAAATCCCATATACAGGGTGATGGAAAAGTAAACCGAAAATAAATATTGGCAGCTATTGCATTAATCAACACCATGACTTCGTTATGTGAAGAACTACCACTGAGCCTTCAAACTTAAGTAATGGGGGCTAAAAAGTTTAATTTGGTTCCAGGAGAATGAAAAGTTTCTGCGCTGATTCTTTTGGTCGTGCCAAGATTTATTTTGGATTGCGCGACTTCTCGATCTCCCATGAGATTTCGGTACGTCTGCATTCCACAGTTGTAACCACGGCTTTATTTTAAATCTGTCCTCCTTTCTCGTCTCATAATTGTCCAATCTACTCTCAATCTAGGAAGAATTATGTTTCATACACTACGATAATTGTTTGAACTTGAACATTTTCCCCTTGAATGGAGCACGAACCCGTGAAGGGCGAGATTCCCTGCGAATACTCATGATTTTCATTGAGTGACTTGCAACTTTCACGGGTGCGATTCGGATTCAATGCAGCGTAAAATAAAAAATAATTATGTAACTATATCAATACGATTGGGAATCGCTCAAAAACGTGTTTTGCATTACCTGTGACCTTGAGAGGTTATTTCGCATTCTTTTTCCTTGCTATCACATATGCTACAAGTGATACGGATTAATATGAAAGTCATATATATTAATCTAACATCGCTTAAAAAGTCGAATTAGATATGACCCTAGTAGCACATTACATAGAATCAATGTTGTTTCAATGCTCAAGTTCGGAGGAAATGCCCTAAAACTGAGGAGTGATTTAAGATATTCAAAGTGAGCATGAAACACGACAAATTAGATAAAATAAAATGCCGTAATTGCACTATTGACCCGAAACAAAGTGCCATCTGGACCTACCGCATGGGGGAAAAAAATTAATTACTCATTCGTTGTATAAGGCATTGAATATTGAAGCACCCGAAATGCCTCAATTTTTATCCGGAATAACGAATGCGCGCCTTTTCACCGGAAAGCAAGGGGAGGGAGAGGGGGGGGGGGGGGGGCAGCAACGAGAATGCGCGCCTTTTCACCGGAAAGCAAGGGGAGGGAGAGGGGGGGGGGGGACAGCAACGGAAAAGAAACAGGATGGGAAGTGAGGAGAAAGGAAAGCACGGAAAAAGGGGTGCAAATTATGAGAAAAAAAGGAATGTGGAGCGGAGGTGCGAATGACCCTGGAGGAGACGAGACGACGGGGGACAGGATGAGCAACAAAGATTAGGATACAGACTGTGATTAGGACGCCCGGGCATGACTCTTTGTTTTCTTTCCCTCTCCTGACTGAATGCCTATTGCCTGTCCGGCTCAACCTAAAGTCCTGAGCAAACTTTGAAGGTTTTTCCCACGCGCAAAAAGGGCTGATAGCTGGTTTACGCGTTGAGTATTTGCAGTGCATGATTGATCGGCGTCATGAAGATATTAAGGACTTGGAAATCTACGAACATATTCAGACCCATTACCTTTTGGCATTTCACGCACACAGTGAAGTAATAGCTCCTTGCACTTCCACAATTACCTGAATGAATTAAAAATCACAATAACCATTAGCTTTGATTTTTCACAATTTACTATCAATGATCACTCAGAAAACTTTATTCTGCCATTCCTAAAACGGTGAGAAGCAATTTTCATAATTTGCATACATATTTTACAATTTATCTCATTTATAAATTGATAGTCTTTTGATACACTGTGAAGTAGGGAGAAAATGCTCAGTTGCCATTAATGAGATTTTCAGAGAAGAATATTATTGTTTGTGAAAAAAAATTATCTCCCGTGCTTGGGAAAAACCCATTCAACGAAACAAAAAGGCTCCAGAAAAGACAAAATTAGACAAAACCTCTCACCACGCATAGAAAAAAAAAATCAAGAATTTTCTACCGGAAGCTTCAGTATGATAAATCCATTGGACCCTCGGCATCTTTGTTTTCCCTCGTACCAAGGGAGCAAAGCAAAGACGATGCCTGATAGGCTTCCATGAGTGACGTCCCGCAACATCCCGTGAAATGGCTCTTTCAAACGTCAATCAAGGCGGGAATGATGGAATGCTCTCTGATTCAATCGCGAGGGCCTGGCCCCCTCCCCATTCTCGGGAGAGGGGAATTCATTCCAAAACCAAAAAAAAATGGAAAACGATCTGTATTAACCAGTGGCATGGGAGTTGCAGGCGCGTCTCGCTGTCAAGCGGGAATCGCAAACCGATGAAAACATCAACCGTGCCCAGGTCAAATATAGGCTTCTTTGTTTTATGTATGCCTGCTCTGGGAGGATTACCGCCGTTCGACGCCATGCTCCCCATCACGCCACCATCACGATTGCCACCGTGATGACGTCACCGCGTGGGTAGAGCTACCCCATCACCCAGAAAATAATGAAGATGGTAATCGAGTGGGAGGATTCAGATGCACAACATGTAGATCCGTTATACGTGGGGCA